CCGCGCCCCCGGCGCTTTGCCCACTGCCGAAATGGCCCCGTTGGAGCCCAAAACCGCCCCAAATGGGAGATTCTGACCCCAAAAGCTCCCCAAATCGGCGTTTCTGCACCCCAAAGCTCCCCCAGTTGATGTTTCCTAGCCCCAAAAGCCCCCAAAATGGGGATTTCAGAGCCCAAAAAAATCATAAATAGGGGTTTTCGAGCCCCAAAGCTCCCTAAAAGGGACATTCTGACCCCAAAACCTCCCCAAATTTCAGATTCTCACCCCAAAAGCTCCCAAAATTGGCGTTTCCGCACCCCAAAGCTCCCCCAGTTGATGTTTCATAGCCCCAAAAGCCCCCAAAATGGGGATTTCAGAGCCCAAAAAAATCATAAATAGGGGTTTTCGAGCCCCAAAGCTCCCTAAAAGGGACATTCTGACCCCAAAACCTCCCCAAATTTCAGATTCTCACCCCAAAAGCTCCCAAAATTGGCGTTTCCGCACCCCAAAGCTCCCCCAGTTGATGTTTCATAGCCCCAAAAGCCCCCAAAATGGGGATTTCAGAGCCCAAAAAAATCATAAATAGGGGTTTTCGAGCCCCAAAGCTCCCTAAAAGGGACATTCTGACCCCAAAACCTCCCCAAATTTCAGATTCTCACCCCAAAAGCTCCCAAAATTGGCGTTTCCGCACCCCAAAGCTCCCCCAGTTGATGTTTCATAGCCCCAAAAGCCCCCAAAATGGGGGTTTTGGAGCCCAAAATATCTCATAAATGAGAGTTTTGGAGCCCCAAAGCTCCCTAAAAGGGAGATTCTGACCCAAAAGCTCCCCCAGTTGATGTTTCGTAGCCCAAAATGCCCCCAAAATGGGGGGTTTGGAGCCCAAAAAATCTCATAAATGAGAGTTTTGGAGCCCCAAAGCTCCCTAAAATGCAGATTCTGACCCCAAAACCTCCCCAAATCAGTGTTTCCGCACCCCAAAGCTCCCCCAGTTGATGTTTCCTAGCCCCAAAAGCCCCCAAAATGGGGGTTTTGGAGCCCAAAATATCTCATAAATGAGAGTTTTGGAGCCCCAAAGCTCCCTAAAAGGGAGATTCTGACCCAAAAGCTCCCCCAGTTGATGTTTCGTAGCCCAAAATGCCCCCAAAATGGGGGGTTTGGAGCCCAAAAAATCTCATAAATGAGAGTTTTGGAGCCCCAAAGCTCCCTAAAATGCAGATTCTGACCCCAAAACCTCCCCAAATCAGTGTTTCCGCACCCCAAAGCTCCCCCAGTTGATGTTTCCTAGCCCCAAAAGCCCCCCAAATGGGGGTTTTGGAGCCCAAAATATCTCATAAATGAGAGTTTTGGAGCCCCAAAGCTCCCTAAAAGGGACATTCTGACCCCAAAACCTCCCGAAATTGGCATTTCCGCACCCCAAAGCTCCCCCAGTTGATGTTTCTTAGCCCCAAAAGCCCCCAAAATGGGGTTTCAGAGCCCAAAAAAATCATAAATAGGGGTTGTCAAGCCCCAAAGCTCCCTAAAAGGGAGATTCGGACCCCAAAACCTCTCATAAATGAGAGTTTTGGAGCCCCAAAGCTCCCTAAAATGCAGATTCTGACCCCAAAACCTCCCCAAATCAGTGTTTCCGCACCCCAAAGCTCCCCCAGTTGATGTTTCGTAGCCCCAAAAGCCCCCAAAATGGGGTTTCAGAGCCCAAAAAAATCATAAATAGGGGTTTTCGAGCCCCAAAGCTCCCTAAAATGCAGATTCTGACCCCAAAACCTCCCCAAATCAGTGTTTCCGCACCCCAAAGCTCCCCCAGTTGATGTTTCGTAGCCCCAAAAGCCCCCAAAATGGGGTTCCAGAGCCCAAAAAAATCATAAATAGGGGTTGTCAAGCCCCAAAGCTCCCTAAAAGGGAGATTCGGACCCCAAAACCTCCCAAAATTTGAGAGTCTGACCCCAAAACATCCCCCTATTGGGTCTTTTGGAGTCCTGGCGCCCCCCAAATCGCCATTTCTCACCCCAAAACCTCCCAAAATTTGAGATTCTGACCCCATAACCTCCCGAAATGGGAAATTCTGACCCCAAAAGCTCCCCAAATCGGCGTTCCTGCACCCCAAAGCTCCCTAACTTGATGTTTCGTAGCCCCAAAAGCCCCCAAGATGGGGGTTTTGGAGCCCAAAAAATTCATAAATAGGGGTTTTCGAGCCCCAAAGCTCCCTAAAAGGGACATTCTGACCCCAAAACCTCCCCAAATTTCAGATTCTCACCCCAAAAGCTCACGAAATTGGCGTTTCTGCACCCCAAAGCTCCCCCACTTGATGTTTCCTAGCCCCAAAAGCCCCCAAAATGGGGGTTTTGGAGCCCAAAAAATCTCATAAATGAGAGTTTTGGGGCTAAAAAGCTCCCTAAAGTGAGATTCTGACCCCAAAAGCTCCCCCAGTTGATGTTTCGTAGCCCCAGAAGCCCCTAAAATGGGGGTTTTGGAGCCCAAAAAATCTCATAAGAGTTTTGTACCCCAAAAGCTCCCTAAAAGGCAGATTCTGACCCCAAAACCTCCCAAAATTTGCTATTCTGACCCCAAAAAACCTCCTAAAATTTGAGATTCTGACCCCAAAAGCTCCCCAAATTGGCATTTCTGTGCCCCAAAGCTGCTTCAGTCAATAATTTGTAGCCCCAAAACCTCCCTAAATTTGAGATTCTGACCCCAAAACCTCCCTAAATTGTTGGTTCAGGAGCCCCAAAGCTCCCCAAAATCATAGTTTCTCGTCCAAAAACTTGCCCAAATTGGCATTTCGGAGCCCCAGCCCCCCCCCAACTCACCGTTTCTCACCCCAAAATCTCCCCAAATGGGCATTTCAGAGCCGCAGCACCCAAATCGCCATTTCTCACCCCAAAACCTCCCCTAACAGGCATTTTTGACCCCAAAACATCCCCAAATGGGCATTTCGGAGCACTGGTGACCCCCAAATCAACGTTTCTCACACCCAAACCTCCCCAAACGGGCTTTTTGGAGCCCCTGCGCCCCCCAAATCACCATTTCCTGCCCCAAAAACTCCCTGAATGGGGATTTTGGAGCACTGGCCCCCCCCCCCCCAAAGTCGGGATACTTGTATCTGTAATAGCTGCCCCCCCCCCCCCATTCTCCTTTTCTCACCCCAAAACCTCCCCAAATGGGCATTTTTCACCCCAAAACCTCTCAAAATGGGTCTTTCAGAGCCCTGGTATCCCCCAAATCGATGTTTCTCACCACAAAACCTCCACAAATTTGCATTTCGGAGCCCCAATGCCCCCCAAATCACCATGTCTCACCCAAAAACCTCCCCAAATGGGCATTTCGGAGACCCAGGGCGCCCCAAATCACCGTTTCTCATCCCAAAACCTCCCCAAACAGGCGTTTTGGAGCCCTGGCGCCTCCCACATTGTATTTTCTCACACCAAAACCTCCCCAAATTGGCATTTTGGAGCCCTGGTGCCCCCCAAATCGTAAGTTATCACCCCAAAACCTCTTCAAATGGGTGTTTTGGAGCCCTGGCGCCTCCCAAATTGATGTTTCCCACCCCAAAACCACACCAAATGGGTATTTTGGAGCCCCAGCAACCCCAAATTGCCATTTCTTACCCAAAAACCTCCCCAAATTGGTGGTTTGGAGCCCCAGCACTCCCCAAGTCACCATTTCTCACCCCAGAACCTCCACAAATGAGCATTTCAGAGCCCTGGTGCCCCCCATATCACCCTTTCTCACCCCAAAACCTCACCAAATGAGTGTTTCAGAGCCCTGGTAATCCCCAAATCATGGTTTCTCACCCCAAAACCTCCCCAAATTGCTGTTTCTCACCCCAAGACCTCACCAAATGGGTGTTTCGAAGTCCTGGCAATCCCCAAATCATGGTTTCTCACCCCAAAACCTCCCCAAATGGTTTTTGTGGAGCCCAAAATGTCCCAGCAAGGGAGTTTCTCACCCCAAAAGCTCCCTGAATTGTTGTTTTGGGAGACCTGGCAGCCCCAAATCGCTGTTTCTTGCCCCCAAACCTCCCCAAATGGGTGTTTTGGAGCCCATGTGACCCCCAAATCACCCTTTCTCACCCCCAAACCTCCTTAAATTTGAGATTCTGAACCAAAAAGCTCTCAAAATGCCTCTTCCTGACCCCAAAACCTCCCCATATGGTTGTTTTGGAGCCCAAAATGTCCCCAAAAAGGAGTTTCCGACTCCAAAAGCTTTCTGAATTTTTTTAGGAGACCCGGCAGCCCCAAATCGCTGTTTCTTGCCCCAAACCCTCCCTAAATGGGTGTTTCGGAGCCCCAAATCCTCCCCAAATCACCATTGCTCACCCCAAAACCTCCCCAAATTGCCGTTTCTCGCCCCAGAACATCCCCAAATGGGTGTTTCGTTGCCCTGGCGTCTCCCAAATTGCTGTTTCTCACCCAAAAACCTCCCCAAATCAGCATTTTGGAGCACCAGTGACCCCCAAATCAATGTTTCTCACCCCAAAACCTCCCCAAATGGCTGTTTCAAAGTCCTGGCACACCCCAAATCACCATTTCTCACCCCCAACCCTCCCCAAATTGCCATTTCTCACCCCAAAACCTCCCCCCTCTCCCAGGTCCCGACCGCCAGGATGGAGGGGTCCGAAGGCGACGGAGGGGAAGAGCTGCGTCTGCAGCCCCCGTCCACCCAGGAGGTGGAGAGCGGCTCCCGTGCGGGGGGCGAGGGGATCGGCCAGGCCAGGCCACATCCGACAGCATCCAACGCCCCACCCGCCCTTCCCGTGGGATGCGGAGCCGTGGGGTCGAGCCCGGAAGAGGCGGCGGGGGACCCGGCCCCCGACTGTGGCGACAACTCCTGGGAGATCATTCAGAGCGAGCCGGGTACCGCCGGTATCCACAAGGAACCGGATTCCCACGGCGGAAAATTCTCACCGCCCCCACGGGGAGGCCGTGCTGGGACCCCAGGTATAAAAACCCAACCCCAAACCCGCCCCAAATTCCTCCATTTTGGTCTTTTTCTCGCGGAGGATGAGGTGAGGTGGAGCAGATCTTGGGTCGCTTGGGTTCCTCCCCCTGGTTGTTCCCCTCCCAACCTCTTAACGAGGGGTGGGGGAGGGAGGAAATGGAGGTAACGAGGTCACGCGCCGGCCCGCGCTTCAGCAGAACCTCCCAACGTCCACCTGTTGGCAGCGCTGTTTGGGCCACAAACCAACACCCTACGCGTTGTGGTGGAGATGATGACCTCCGTTCCTGGTCGGGCTGGGACAATCCTGGGTGGGAGAGGTCGAGAAGGAGGAGAAGACCCCCAGTTTAATTAAAAAATTAATTTAAAAGGGAGTAATTAGCCCAGGCAGGTGCACGCAGGGGCCGGGTTTGGGACCCGATGGGCAATGTTCAGCCGCTGTTGGGTTGGTGGGATGTATCTCTCAGGGGTTGGGCATTGCCAAAGAGGTCCCGTGCTGGTCAGGGTCTGGTCTTGAAGGCACTGTAGCCACGGTCACAGCCCCGGCGGGCTCAGAAGTGGCTCCACCCCTCCCCCACAAGCTCCTGTGACCACCAGTGACTCTCAGTATTCTTCCCAGGCTCCTGAGGTGCCACCACGAGATGAGCTCCAGCTCCAGCAGATCCCAGCGCACCACTACGCATCCATAGAGGAGGAGAATTACCAAACCACCAGCGACCATCCCGAGGGAACGTCGGGAACACGGGGGCAGAAGCATCTCAGGAGTCCAGTGAGTTCACCGCGACTTTTGAAGCTCGTGGCCAAAGCTCTGGGAGGACAAGGGTTGAGTTTTCTATGCCAGGACAGTGGTGCTAGCCTGGATTTTGGTGGTAGGGGCAGAAGAAGACCCCCGCCCCACTCCCACCCTTTGTCTCTCCCATCCTTTGAGGTCTCAGCTTTTGAACTTTGGGTTTTTCCATCGGCTCTTCCCATTTTTCTTTTCTCCAGGCAAAGGTCCCAGGTCCCGTTGAGCAACCGGAGATGTCAACCCGGGGGAACCTCAGCCACCCAGGTACCGGTGAGGGTGTCTCCTCCCTCACATTGTCCTCTCTGGTGATAAATAGGGTGCTGAGTCTTCTTGCCAGTGGCCCTGGTCCATGAGAACTGGTAGGGAGGTGGAAGCTCTTGAGGACACCACACCCAAAAGCCTCCCGGGCTTTCCCCAGGGGAACCTGTCCAGGGAGGAGGACGCGATGGGCCCTGCCAGTGGTTGTCCTCACCCTCCCGGCCTTGCTTCCTACCCCTGCCCCCAGCAGGGCTGTGCTCGAGCGCTGGTGGCGCTTGGGAGGACGGGGAAGCCCTCGCTCCTAGAGCGGCTTGGGCTTGTTCTTATGCA